GGGGAGGGGAGGGGAGGGGTGGGGCGAGGGGATGGGCTTGTTGGCTCACCGCTGGCCGAGGGAGACGGCGGTGAGCGGCTGGCCGTCCAGCGCCCACGTGAAGTGCGGCGGCGGGGAACCGGTGGCGGAGCATCGCAGCGATACGGGCGGGCCGGGGCTCAGCGCCTGCTCGATGAACGTCGACTGCAGCTCCGGCATCGTGTCTGCGCACGCACAGCGGCCCCTGTCACACTCCCACACTCACACAGTGATAGTGAAACCAGTTGAAAAACAATCAACACACGAAATTGCACAACACTATTTCGTTTAGAAAGTTACTCTTAGCACTGCTATTAAAAAATGATTAAATGTCATATTAAGCACAGAAATGCAACTATCTGCAATATGTTATTTAAAGTAGCGAATAAACAATATTTAATATTAATTAGATGAAATGAATTCTTTCCTTTTAGTTTTTAGTGGGGCCATGTAGTGAATAGAAACATTTTAGAACAATATGCGTTTCTTTTACTAAATCCAATCTGTTATATTTTTCGCTTTAACTAACTTTCTATATTTCAAAACATTTAGAGTTATGTAGAACGTTGAATAAATTCTACGTAACTCTTCAGTTGAATACGTTTATATGTAATACAATTTTGTGAATGTTTGCTCTGTACATTTTAAGCAAGTTTAGAAAGCACACATGATATTATTTACGAAGCTTATTCAACTTACTTCCTTACAATGAGGTTAATAAATTTCAAGAGACAAGTCTTTCAAATTTTTAGAAGAGAAATGAAGTTTGTAATATGTTCCGCTTTAATGATCCTAGCCTTTTAGATTTCAATGAAATAAAATTTTCGGATAAAGGTTTGATTACTCAGTCTGCTTCACACAAAGATCTAAAGAGCATGGAAATTCGACGAAAAATATCAAGCTTGGCTGAATATCTCTGAGAGAAGTGGTATAAAAAGGATTCCTAGAATAACCTATAAAGGCGAAAAATTAAATGTGACAACTAACCAGGAATAAAATTAATTCCGGAAAAAATAATTTCTGAGGCAATGAATCGAACACAGAATTTAATTTAGAGATTAAACGATGAATTTGATTTAACATTTCATAGGAATATTGTAAAATCAAGACTTAGTACAAAGCAAGGTGGATAAAGTTATATTATTAGGTATGGAGTTTGTTTGGGCACGGTATCTAGGGCGTCAATGTGTCTTTTCGCTTCCGAACATCCAGGCATTGTTGCGGTGCATTCGGAACGTACATATTACTCAACAACAAAATAATTGACCTGACTCAAGCAGTTAGACTTACAGAGCTAAGAGAGAATTGGGTTGTCAGATTAAATTTCATTACTAAATAAGAATTTTTTGGTTGAAAAGTGTATATTAGCAGACCACGGCAAACATAAAATGTACAGCATTTGTCTTTCTAATGATGTTTTATATACCCACTGGGTCGTTAAAGAACAGATATCCAATCAATTTACAACAAAATTTTTTTACATACGTGCTCATAATCTCCAAAGAAGCTTAATATGAAGTTTGTAAATAAATTACTCTGAACAAAAGTTCTGGGTCTAAATGCGTTGTTAATACAAGTAATATGCAAATTTATTGTTGACTATTTTTCTAGCCATCTTTTTAGGCATCTACAACCTTAATCAGAATAAAAACTACCGAAGAAATTTTCACATTTTCACTCATGTTTTCTTCAAAACAGGCGTTTCTCTTTTTTTACCAAAATAAGCAAATTTAACCCTGTTACTAAGACTACTGGGCCAGAAGCGGACTGAACGCCGAGCGTCAAACAACACTAATTTCAGAATCGTTTTGCTCGTTGAACTATCCTACTTGTAAAGTCATATTGAGATCGTTTCAATTCACATGATCGATTAGGCCCTTATTGTATTTCCAGTATAATATCGTACCCTTAATACTAATTGATGTTTCGGGGGAGATGGCTAAATTATTAAACTGCTTGATAATAAAGGATGCATTTAGTTTAATTAGGTACAGCGTTATAAACTCTCATGTTAAAAGTGTTTTTATATCGCATGCTTGGATTTTTTGACTGAAAATTAACAAAAAGGAGAACAAAAACTGAAAAGAGAAATTTGAGATTTTAATACTAATGGAAATCTAAGTAAGTAAGATTTATTTTGGATTCGACACATGTTTTAGTCATAGCAATGGTGGACGTCCGAGCGCAATGGTGCTGTCAGTGAAGTTCATTCGAGCGCAAAAAGTCTTATCGTTGTTGAGTAAGAAAATAATACTTTTTACTTTTTGAGAAAATGTTTCAATGAAATATTTTGAGAGTTACTTAAACAAGTAGCGATGCAATCATAACACTAACTTATTATGTTTTAACTAGATGGTTATTATTTTAACTACAAATAATATATAGCAAAATAGGTGTGTTAAAATACTGTGTAAATGTTAATCATGACATGCAGTAAGGGCAATAGTGTGATGGATCAGAATTAAGAAGAAGTTTATTCTTGTGTTTGATGTTGACATTGCTAATTGCATGAGTGTCAATTGAGATTTATTTTTGTTGATAGGGCTTTTGTCAGCTCATGTCGGTAACTCTTTATACACTAAATACCCCCAAGCTAACGTCAAGTACACTCTATACCCGTAATGAGGTGTATCTTTATTGCACTTACCGACCCCTCAGAATTGGGGAAGGAAACCAGGTACCAGAACATGAGATTCTTGGAGACACGCGCGCACACACACACACACACACACACACACACACACACACACACACGAAAGACAAGGCATGAAAGTCAACATCCAGGGCAAAATGCGAAAACGCGACCGTTCGGACACCAGGCAGTGAATCCATACCCACTCTTAGCCGCTTATGAAAGGACACGGCATGGTTCACTTCACCCGCATATCCTTGACATAAACGACTAATCAATATTGCATTGATCAAAAAAGTTCCGAAGCATTTCTGTGATAAATGCTCTGCTAATGAGCTTACAGTTTTTAGAGATATCTGTTCATAGGAGGATCTGGCAATGTGGGCGCATGCAAGAGCCACTCGCCAAAATATTCACTATACGAGGGAGAAACCTAGCTTTCTTAATACACAATGACAGCGTTATTTTAAATTGTGTGGATTGGAATGAGAAAAAGCACGACCCTGCATGCGCATCGTCCCGAACCCTTGCTTGTTGGTGCAGCGCACTATCTAGAGGCGACGCAGCTGTACTCTTTGCGTGCACCGACGCTCGGCAGGAAGCCAAGCGTAGACTTTGTAGTAGTAAAGAATGTTCCCCAATAAAACATTCATTAAACATTGAGATGACTTAAAAAAAAACATTGAAGGAATGTGTGTATGCAGGGGGGTGTTCAAGATAATAACCTTTTGTCAGTGAACAGATGGTGAGAAATTTCATATAATTAAGTTACACCTATGCTATTTCTCCCTTATTGGTAGGCATTGGTGTTTGCCGGGGAAAAGAAATATCTTTCGCTGCATCAGAACGTGATGTGCAAAACACACCAATGCATGGCGGATTGCCAACGACTAAGGGGCACACATTTAAATATACGAAATTTCCTACCACATTCTCATTGAGCAATAAGAATAAATGACCTACATTCATAACATTTCTTCTGAGACATCCTATAAGGTTTTAAAAGTAAATGTGCATCGAAAGGGAGAAGTAATCAAGAGATGTTTTATTTGTCATCCAGTTTGGAACCCATTAGTGTTGAATTTATGCACAAGAAAATATACATTTACTCAAAGTAAATATTATTATAATTATATTATTGATGATTAAACATATTTACTTAAATAAAAAATTAACAAACACCAGGGTAGTATTTAGTCGCATAACATCTTGGAGCCTTCCAACCTTCGTCTATCAGGGACAGGAGAGGGTTCCAAGAAAATTTCAAATAAAATTTTCAATTTAAGTACAGTACAGTTTCTAGTACACGCATTTGAAGATGATTGGCATGCGCTTCACTAAATTGAGTCCAGACAAAAATGTTAAGGTCATTTGGCAATAGATGATATAGTATCAAGCCATGTCGTGCAACACTGGCTCAATTTAGTATTCTGGTAAAACGAGCCAACTACCTGCCGAGTTTAGCTCAGAGTTAGAGAACCTCTGGCCGCAGACTGCAGCGACCAGAGATTCTAGAATTCGAGTCCTGAAGGTGGTGGGTTTTCAACAATAGCTTCGTAGAGAGGTCAAATTCAACTAATGTCTGGAAAAGAATTGTAGAATCCGGATGCTCTGTTCGGCAGCATTCCGTGATGTCTCCGATCAATACCACGCCAATGTCCCTCACAAACGCGCGTCTTCTTTGCTTCCTCTTGTCCCATCCTCTCCTCTTTCGCACGATTACTTGAATGCAGTACACTATCACACATATCGGGAGAGTAGACGAGAGCTTAGAGCTTGTCGCGGCTGGGGCGGCACCTCATTGGGGGAAATTACTTGAGATTGCAAACCGCAAGTCGACATGTAGGTCGGCGCGGGATCCCACCATCTAGCAGGGAGAAACACCGCCTCCTCCCGAGATAGAACATTCACTACAGTAATGGGGATAATCACCATAACGGTTGCCATGCCAGTAAATGACAATCAATTAAACAAGCGAATAAAGTGGTGGGGCGGGGGCTTGGGGCGAGGGCGGTGGGCCGGTGGGCGGGGGCGGGTGCGGGGAGCGGGGGACGGAAGCGGGGGTGGCGGTGCGCGGGGGGTGGCGTGGGAGCGGTTTAGACGGGAGCGGGTGAGCGTGGGGACGGGAGGGTGGGGGAGGCGGTGGAGCGGTAGCGAATGATGAGGGGAGGATGATTGGGAGGCCGGGGAGCAGGGGGGCTGCGGTGTTTGGGGTTTGCGGGGGCACTCACTCCGAGGCGCAGCTCGGCGCTGCCCTGCCCGAGTCCGCGTCGTTGCCGCGCACGCAGCTGCGTACATGCCGCGGTCCGCCGCGCGTCACGCGCTCACCAGCAGCGCCAGCGGCGTCAGTAGCCGCACGCGCCCGCCGCCGCCCGCGCCGCCCTCGCCCACCGCCGCGCCGTTGTGCAGCCACGACACCGAGTCCAGCGGCGCGCCCGACACCGAGCAGTTGAACGAAGCCGACTCCCCGGAGTTCACCACCTGCCAGAGCCACGCACTGCGCTCACTACACTGAACTACAGAGAAAATAGTTGCCATAAACACTGGAAGATGTAGGCATGATAAATGCTTGCAGAACATCCGAGAAATAATTACTTGGCTATCCGGGAGACGCCGAGTCCAGAGCACAGGTGCCAACGTTTCGGTCGCCATTCTGCGACATACATCAGGGTGTAGCTATTATATCGCAATAACTACGCCCTGATGAAGGTCGCAGAATGGCGACCGAAACGTTGGCACCTGAGCCCTGTACTCGTCGGCTCCCGGATAGCCAAGTACGTATTGTCTCCGGCCGCGGAAGCCTACCCTCTCATCCGAGATGTATTTTTTGCAAAGTCTACAAGACATTTTCTTGCGAGTTGTTGGTGTGAGCCAAGCAGTCCGAACTGGGCAACTAGTACAAAAAGTTCCCAATAACCACTTGCTTGATAGAACAGAGGCAGTGCGTTGCTAATTTCGCTCCTTTTGTGGGACGCTCTTCTCAAAAAGTAATTCATTTGGCATGCTGAATTTTTTCATAATATTAATAGTTTAAGCAAGTTGTTAAATACATTTTCAAACTTACATTTTCATATCAAATATAATAATAAATATAATAAATATGCATAGTAATTATGCTTTTTTGATTAACTAACAAAAATGTAATAATGCATTATTATTTAATTTTCACATCTGTAGTGTAAAGATTTGAACCAATATTAGTAAATTTTCCATTGCTTTTTATGAAACTCTCTTAGTAATAGTACACATTTCAAGCAATTATCTTCAATGAGTACAGAGGTGAGCGAACATAAACTCTAAAAAATATAAAACATGAGGAAATGAACTTAAAAGCCTTACGACGTTACGCTACTCTCAAATCACAACTCAAACTACAACTTCAACTCGTTGACCAGAAGAGTAGTTACAATTTTCCACGCGCAAATTCAGTTACCAACTCTTAAAATAATTATTCTATACCATGGACAGTGCTGTCACAAGTGTAGCGCTAAAGAAACGACAGAGAAAATGTACAGAGATAAGCACTCTTTCACTAAAGACACGTGCGACAATTTGAAAACAACAGCAAAAAACAACTATCATCCAAAACACATTCCTAAAGCGATTTTACTTAAAATCCAGCAAAAATATTTCAAATGTCATGGAGATTAAAAATTATTTTTTTAATCTTAAATAGCTGACTCCCCTAAAATGGCCTACTTCCCTGAATGCTACGGAAACCCTAGTAAAGGAGCAATGAACTACACTAGATGCATTTGAAAACCATTGGGATATGTTTTATGAAATTGGGGCCGATCATAGAAGTTAATGGTAAGAGTCAGTAGAAGATACCTATTATCCAAATCATTGTTTTAATACATACATCATGAACACAAAATATCATTAGATCGTACAAACAGATATATCATAAAATACAAGTAGAGCAGTGCAACACTACAGTGTAACCTAACAATGAGAAAGGAAATATATTAAATCAAGGAGCAGTGAAAATTGTGTGTAGTATATATCATCTGACGTTGGAATAACATAACGACGTCATAATATTCCGATATACTCTTTAATATTGTTTGCACTGCGCTTGGTACGCAACGCCTTCTTGATATGCATAATGAGTTCAGTCGCATGGTTTGACATCAGAAACATAAGAAGAGTGTCTCAAGATGGCCCGCCACAACGGAGTACGTCCGCCAAGAAGCATGGCCGATAGAACACTAACGTTTTCGTATGTTTAAGAAGCTGTAAATACGTACATTTCCTTACATTTAAGTACATAACTTACTGACAGAATTCAGTTAGGTATCACACATGTTTTCAATCATATTCATTGACCTTTCATATTCGAGAGATAACACACGGCTTGGATTTTCAATAAAAATAAATTATTCAATGTTATAAATAAGTAAAGAAAGTGATTAAATGTTATAAACAAAACACGTTTACATATACACAATTAGTGACACTTTCCATGAAACTGACCCAAAGAGTAATAGCACCCCAAATTTCTTAAAATGCTATGAACAAATTTTCTAGTGTTCATTATTTGCTTGAAAATCGTTAACTCAAATAGTCTGTTTTACAGCATGCATTTATTGAAAGAGTTTTGATAGCTTAAGTACTGACAAATTTAATATTTAAAAGCAGAGACATACCAATAGCGAGTTTAATAGGTGATATACCAATTTTATCAATCGAAAAAAGAAAATTAGATTTTGCTGACTGTCTCGGCATATGTGTTAAAAATCTGATAAATGTAATAATTTATCGGTAGAACGAAAGCCCGAGGGCATGTTATTTCTGTAAATGTTATTTTGATAGAAGACCTTTGTTAAATTGTTAGAGGTGGACAATTTTATGAGCTAAATAAATTATTTTTTCTTTGAATACGCAGTTAAAGTTTTAATTCTGTACGAGTACAATTAATGAAATGTTTGTGAATAATATTTTCGCAACATAATACTGTAATGAGAAAAAAAAACATTGATATTTTTATCGCGTTTTGAATTATATTCGTAAGATTGCTCGAGGTAATAAACACTTTATTATGTTGAAAAACACCAAAAACTCATTTTCCTTTGTACAATAATTGTTTAATGAATAATATAAACATGATGTGTGGAAAATATCAGAGGGCAGAAACTTTAGATGTAAAGAAGACGTCGAAATCTATATCAAGGAGAAGCTGCCATCTCTCTCTAACAAAGAAGATGACGAATGAAACTTAATGATCGCAGTGGTACATTTGTACAACTATTGTAAAAGGAAATTAAAATCGTCTTGATGACCGAAAATGAAACAGTTTCAAGAAGAATAAAAACGGATCTCTGCTTCCTGTGACGTTTGATCTTTTATACTATAAAATGAAGAACACTACTACAATGTAACCTACGAATACTATTGAAAATTAAAATTTACTCACGAGATTATATTTTTACAGAAGACACCCCTATTACGGTGCGTCGACGTTCTAGTAGTGTAATATTTACATTTTAGACGTTAAACTGTGCGTAATCTCAGTGTCGTTAATCTATGTTTTATTACGGTAGACCAATATCTAGAAGTCTGTGAGTAAAATGTACTCACTCCTAAAAAGAGCATCGCTACTGTCGGGACCCGACAGCTACTCTCTTAAAGCTGTTAAGTGACTATAAAACTTGCTTCAGGATTTAATTCCTATTGATGGAGTCTTAATAAAGATGTTTAGTGATATATAATTACTACTCATTTAATTTTTAACGTAATCCTTGTAGAAATTGTTCGCTTTTGAAATTAGTACATTTTATTCCACAATAGTAACGAGTGATAAATTTAAACACTTTAATTCTTAAGGAAAATTATAATACAAGAATATTACATTTCAAAAGGTAGAAAATGTAATTTTAGAATTTAAGTTTTCATTTACAAGGGGCTTCGTCCAGCCGGGAAAGCTGTTAACGACGTAATTATTTAACAGCGTGATAATATAAGGGCTATGTGGCTCCATTCTACTCGGAGATTGCTATCACTCTGAAAGCTGAACAGTGGGAGGGTTCAAAAGCTAAATGACCATTCGACCAAGAAAATTGATAACACACTGAACGTAGTACAGAAGAAGGGTTAAAAAGCTAAATGACCCTTTGACTCAGGTCTGCTAACGGTCTAAAAGCTGAACAGAGGAAGAATTCGAAAGCTAAATGACCGTTCCACCCAGGAGATTGCTTCCTAACATTGAGCGTTGATAATTGTGGAGGACACAAAAGATAAATAGCTCTTTGACCCAGAAGATTGCTAACGGACTGGAAGCTGAATAGCGGAAGAATTCAAGAGCCAAATGACAGTTCGACCCAGGAGATTGCTAACAATCTGAACGTTGTATGGAGGAAGGGTACAAAAGCTAAATGGCCCTTTGACCTAGGTCTGCTAACGGCCTGAAAGCTGAACAGCGGAAAAATTCGAAAGCAAAATGACCGTTCGACCCTATGGCTGAGAACACAAAAGATAAATGGCTCTTTGACCCAGAAGATTGCTAATGGTCTGGAAGCTGAATAGCGGATGAATTCAAAAGCTAAATGACAGTTCGACTCAGAAGATTGCTAACACTCAGAACGTTGAACAACGGAAGGATACAAAAGCTAAATGGCCCTTTGATCCAGGACATTGCTGATGATCTAAAAGCTGAACAGAGGAAGAATTCAAAAGCTAAATGACCATTCCACTCAGGAAATTACTAACATTCTGCACGTTGTACAGAGGAAGGGTTCAAAATCTAAATGGCCCTTTGACCAAGGTGTGCTAACGATCTGAAAGCTGAACAGCGGAAGGACGAGACGCGTCACTGACATGGTGGCTAACGTTTCGGCCAGCGTATTGTGGCCTTTTTCAGAGCGTACTGCAGTATTGTGGCCTTCTTGAGAGCGTACTGCAGTGCGGTCTGAAGAAGGCCACAATACGCTGGCCGAAACGTTAGCCACCATGTCAGTGACGCGGCTTGTCTCGGATAGCCTAGACAACACAAATTCCGGCCGCGGAAGCCTACGCAACCATGAACAGCGGAAGGATTGAAAAGCTAAACGACCGTTCGACCCAGGATACTGCTAACGCCGTGAACGCTGTACAGCGGGAGGGTTCAAACGCTCAGTAGTTCTGGGGCAGTGCACGTTGAGGCGGGCGCCCCCTGCGCCTCACTGCGTGCGTCACCTGGAGCTGCGGCTGGACGTGGACGGCGAGCGGCGCCGTCACCGCCAGCTGCGTGTCGAGGTGCTGCTCGCCGAACTGGTTGTGCACGCGGCACACCCAGCGCCCGGCGTCCTCGGCGCCCACGTGCCGGATGTGCAGCACGTCCTGCGCCGGCGCCACGCGCAGCGACGCCGCCACGGGCCGCAGCTGCCCCGACACCTCGCGCAGCCACCTGCGCACGCGCATCGCGCACCACCTGCAGTGCACGCACGGGCGGAAGGAATGGGCGCGACACACGCGTGGGTGTCCTGATGGTCATGTGGGATGTTGAAACGGGTGGTAGGGTAGCGCGTGCTTCGGGGGCATGCCCCTAACCTCCGGGACGGGGAGCCCAAGGGTGAGTCTGGGTGTGACGCCCCCCGGCGTACGAAGGTTGCCTTTTACGTTTCGGGATTTGGCAACCCTGGTGTTGCGATCTGGCAAGTGACAGCTCTATCGTAAAGTTGGATGTTTTGAGGTCATACGTACTCAGAACGTTTTGACATACGAGCGCTATTTCTGTTGTTTACAGTAACTTGAAATATTCATCTTGGCCCAAAAATGGAATTAAATCGTGATAAATTTTCGTGCGATATTTTTGTTTGCCTTTTAATGTTTCGGATTGGGCAACCCTGGTGTTGCAATAGTGACAACTGACAGCTCGTATCGTAAAAGTTGGAATGTTTTGACGTTATACGTACTCAGAACGTTTTGACATACGACGCTATATTCTGTTGTTTACAGTAAGCTTGAAAAGATTCAATCTTGGCCCAACATTGGATTACAAGTAGGTGAACATTTCGCTGCGCGAATATTTTTACAACTTACGACGTGGCATTAACTCAGCAACCAGTGCATGTGATGAACTTAAATTCAATTTGGCAATTAAAGCTCCAAGCAAGGAACCAGTGTTATCGATGGTATGGGAATTCAATTGCTGTCGTTCTTCACTCCCAAGACGAAATTTCGCGAGAAGGTCGTCCAAAATTCAGTTGTTGTTCCGAAGAAACCAATTGATGCTGTCCGTGAACTGATATTGCAAGATCGCCATGCGGCATATCGTGAGACTTGAGACAACTGAGGCATTAGTGGGGACCAGCATTCATTCAATATTGGCATGAACATTTGACTGCTTAAAAAAATTGGTTCTCGTTGGATTCCTCAGCCCAATTGTTAATCTCTCTCAAAAAAAAAAAGATCTCGTGTCGAGTTAGTCGAAAGAAAAATGCTCAAAAAATACGATCACGGTACTTCCGTAACACGTCCTATGACATTCATGACAAGGTATGAATCGCTGGATTTTACGCGTAAATGAGCCGAAAGTCAAACAGCATGTAGACGTGGTAATGGCGGTTTTCAAAATGAGAAAATCCAACAAAAGTTGTTCGCGCACGCAAAGCACTTCCAAATCAGATGGTCGCCTGTTTTTTCGCAAAAAACTGAACATGTCCACCGTACCACTAGAACAACAAGCCAGGAACAGTCAATTCTGAGTGGTACAGCAAACCGATTTGTTGCCAGCCTGTCTTCAAGAAATCAGGACAAACAACCGCCGGAAGACGGTAGCACTCTCGCCACGACAAATGCGAGCTCTCACACATCGGCTCAAACAACTGCTTTTGAGCAACAAAACATCGATTTGATGGAGTCATGCCGCCGTATAAGTCCTGACTTGCACACCGAATGCACTATCCTTTTATTCCCGCAACGTAAATAAAACAAACTGAAAGGTCAACGTTTTGCGACACTGAAGAAGCGGTTTGCTGCATTCAGAATGCGATGATTTTGGAGATACCTCAATCAGAGTGGGCAAAAAGTGCTTCGACAATTGGTTCAAAACGCATGCAAAAGTGTATAGATCTTCATGGAGAATATTTTGAAAAACACCAAGTAACAGCTTATTTTCGATAGTTTAATATATGTGTTTGTTTCCTAATTCAGAAATATAAAAGGCACAACCTCGTATCACAGCACTGATGCGCGAGCGGATCGTTTAATACCATAGTAAAATCTCGGTTCATCTACAGGGCATTTTTATCTCTATTCATATTAAATTTTTATCTCAATTAAAATAATATAGGGACTGATTAAAGCGATACAAAGATTAAAAATTACCTATGGCTGGAGGCCAACCCCTCAAAATGTAACAGCATGTGAACAGAATCCGTTAGTCCTTTAAATAATATTATCACATCGACCAGTGAAAACAATATAGATGTCAATAAACACAAACAAATACGAAGGTGTTAGAGCAATGATGTTTTTCACAAGCATATCTGAGATAATTTTTGCTTAGAAGTGGAAAATATGTTCACGCGAATACTACATCTGTGACGTTGAAACAAGCATAAGCCAACAAATGTCTTCAAGGCAGAGCAAGCATATGAAACATCGGCCAGTTTTTTGTGTACGTTCAATGGGTCATGGGTCAAAGAATATTTTCTCTCCAGGATATTTTATTTACACACACTCACACGTTATTTATATATATCTATATATATATATATATATATATATAATATATATATATATATTATATATATCGCCAGTTTTTTGTACGTTCAATGGGTCATGATCAAAAGATCATGTTTGTATGTTTTGATGCCAAAAGTGGAAAGAAAAGAACTTATATATTCATATCTACATACAATACAATATATTACGTTTCGTTTTCAGAAATGGCAGTAGGTGGGTCTTGCGTCTTACTTTCAAAAGAAGTTGGAATAATCTTGCATGCTAATAGTTTTTTTTGCTTAATCACATTTGTTCTCTAAAGGTGCGTTTACACGGAAGAGACAGTCTCCTAAACTTCATGACGTCACGGAGATAAACTCTCTCTGACGGCTTTACACGCTTCGAAATATCTCCCGAAACGCGAGTCTCCTAACACACTGATCCGTAATTTGAAGTATTTATTTATTAAAGATGGTAATACAAATAATATTATTATAAAACGATAATGATTTCATGCTACAAAAAACTTCCTAACTTCAGGAGGATTTGATTTTTTTTATTTGGAATTATCTCACGCAATAAAAAAGCATGAAAAAGTGGAAAAGAATTTATTTCGGAAAGAGACTTGGTTTTGACGGTACGGCGGTTTTTGGCCACAGGAGATACATACAGTTCTTGTCATTTGTATTCATAATTCCCCAGTATATAATTTCCCACAAAGAACAGGAATCCACCGATCACGTTGGAACGCTGCACAGACACAGACAGACGCAAGAATGGGTAATCGAACACGAAACACATGCAAGAGAGCAAAAAGTCTTCCAACTCTCTTTGAATACTATTTATCTCCAGGAATAAGATTCCTCATCGATTCCAGAGTCTTTACACTGCTCTCTTGCGGAGACGTCGAAAATCTCTTGTGACGTCATGTCTCCGGAGAGAAGATCGCTCTCCTGAAAGTTTACACGTGTCTCGTAACCATTTCCGGAAAGTTAGGAGAGAAAACTCTCTCCGTGTAAACGCGCCTTAAGAGACACTACACGTAAGACAATTTTAATTCAGAAGAGTTATTAATGTAAGAATTCGTCCCTCTTGGCGTGTAGATTACATTCAGAATATATGTTCTCGAATAAATAACACGTGAAATGTATTCAAAAGTTCAATGTGAGAGGTGAAACAAAATATTCTAGTTACTGTCCTCTACATTTTCTAACGAAAGAAACCATCTTTCCCTACATTCCGTATTTTGAAATAAAAAATATCCATTTATTGCATTATTCCAACGTGTTTCGTTGTAAAATGAAATAAATCTTTTCTCTTTTGTCCCGTAATGAAGTTTTCAATTTCAATAGACTGGCTGAATGTGACAGGTTAATACGTTATATTAACCACTGACAGTTCCAGCTAACTTCGTAAATTTACATCTGGCCCAAGTACAGAAATTTCACAGCGCAGTCCATTTCGTTTCACGATCCAATTTCATTGCATCATCTGTTCCGTATCTATGAACCTCCATTAGTGGCCGCACGAACGAGAAAGCAAGAGCCAATATATAATGCAATAAACTAACTATCACGATGAGATATGTCGACAGGAGGCGCTCTCGGGCAGATGAATACCGAGAAATTCCCACTAGCGGAGGCCGCAGTATTTCATAATTCAATAACAGCGGCCTGACCCGCGGCCACGCCGTATCTGCATTGGTAAACCAGTGCCGGGGATCATAGCTGACTCGCGGATCTGCTGCGGCCCCAGGGCGCCCCGAAGCCCCGCCCCCGCCCCTTCCCCCACCCCGCTCGCCCGCCGCCGCTGGTCAGCCCCTGGGGGAGCCTTGCTAATGAGCGGCCGCGGGCGTCGGCTCTTGCGCCTCAGGCGGTGGAGACGGCAACGGTGCTGGTAGAAGTGGAGTTGGCCTCGATGCGAATGACGGCGGCGGTGCCGGTGCCAATGTGGATGTCTGGGTTGTTGCGAATGTTCCTGTCGATGTGAGTGCCCGTATTAATGTAGATGTCCGTGTCGTTGTGGATGTCCGTCACGATGTAGATCCGTGTCGTTGTGGATGTCCGTCACGATGTAGATCCGTGTCGTTGTGGATGTCCGTATCGTTGTGGATGTCCGTGTCGATGTGGATGTCCCTTTCGATGTGGATGTCCGTGTCGATGTGGATGTCCGTGTCGATGTGGATGTCCGTGTCGATGTGGATGTCTGTGTCGATGTGGATGTCCGTGTCGATGTGGATGTCCGTGTCGATGTGGATGTCCGTGTGAATGTTGATGTCCGTGTCGGCGTGGATGTCCATTTCGATGTGGATGTCCGTGTCGACGTGGATGTTCGTGTCGATGTCGATGTTCGTGCCGTTGTCGAATAGAATGTGGATGTTCGTGTCGATGTAAATGCTTGTGTAAATGTGGATGTTCGTATCGAAGTGATGTTAGTGTCGGTGTGAATGTCCATGACGAAATGAATGACCCCATCAATGTGGATGTCCAGCTTGATGTGGAACAGATTGCATAAACGTTCAACAACAAACAAAAACAAACAAAATCAGTAAAAGTTTACATGTATTTTTTTCAAAATAATTAAAAAACGCCCTATATAAATTACGCCGTAAAAAACGCCCAATATTTTTTTAAAAAAACATAAATAAAATGGTATAATGAATAGTAACTAGTAGTGCTACAGAATGGCACAGACTTTCCCCTATTCGAACTTCCCACATAATCTTGCCTGCTGCCATCT